ACATGGGTCCCCAGCTCTACCCACTGAGATAACCGGGCATATTTTCTTAGTTAGATATGGATAATTTCAATCAAAACATACAAGGCACTGTGGAAGGAAGAAAATTGATTTAATCTAAAAACAAAAAAAAATCTTACATATTTCCTTACTTATCAACAATATTTGAATTTAAAAAAGTGTCTATTTGGACCTGGGTAAGAATAGTCACACAGACGTTATTCGACTATTTGCGGCCAGGCCCTTAGCTAAGCTATAAAGCGTGACAAAGTCCATGTAGGGAGGTGGTCATGGTGCATGAATGGTTCAAACACAGGACTTTGACCATTCTGATTTTCAGGTTTAAGTTGCAGTTTGGTTAGAATTGGGCAACAAAACTACTTGGTACAATTAGAAACAGTTCTATGCCATGGCCATATTAATGGACACCGGGATGTTTATAGCATCGACCAAAAATAAATCCCATCCCTAAAAGAGGAGGTTAGATACAATACAATAAAGACACAGTATCAATGATCTCTTAATTATCTGACCTGGTCGACAAGGTAAATGAACCTTACCGTTAACTTGCTCTGTTGGTCTCTACAGGTGAGCAGTGGAGCTTGGCAGCGACTGAGGGAGAACCTAGCCCTGGCTAAGACCAAGAAGCCCCAGGAGCTAGGGGTGGATGGAGCTGTGCCCCCTGACCCCGTGGCGATTGAGAAGATCTGCCACAAGTTCCTAAGCATGCGGAAGATGTACTCCCCGGAGAAAAAGGTGTCACTGCTGCTGCGTGTGTGTAAACTCATCTACACCATCATGCAGGATAACTCAGGTATGGGGTGTTGGATGGAAGTTGTTTACCTCGCGTATAACAGAAAGCCTGCAAATAAAAACTCAAGTAGGGTAGCTTTAGTTTTATTTTAAGTATCTAGTCTTCTTTTTCCAATAGAAAAGCTTTTGTGAAACAGCTTCTACTTTCCACCACACCTACCTGTCTCACTGCTTCCTTCCAGGGAGGATGTACGGTGCCGATGACTTCCTGCCCATGCTGACTTATGTCGTGGCTCAGTGTGACATGCCGCAGCTGGACACAGAGATCCAGTACATGATGGAGCTGCTGGACCCATCTCTGCTGCAAGGAGAGGGTAGGTCCTCTGAGTTCACTCTAATTCAGCGATCCATGACTTTTTCTTTTTATATAACATAGTTGAAAAAAGCACACAATATACAGCGAGTACAACAAACTGAGATGAGATGAGAGAATAGAGATGAGAAAATATTCATGAAAAGTGCTACATAAGCTAACGTTAATGCTTAGGGACAAATGCGCCAGGTAAAGTACGTCCTCTAGAATTTCTTGATTTTGGGACTGACAGGCTCAGATTGTTATTCTGTTGTGTCTGACAGCATTATTGAAAGGATATTTCCCAAAATGTTGAATTATTCCTTTAAAAACTTAAAGCAAGGTTCAACCCTAATAAGCAAAGGTGAAACCCAGACACTCTCCTTTTATCTGTGTAGCTCTGTAAGTGGAGGACACTTTACAAGTAGCACATACTCCTGAGCTGTTTTGATTTTCAGAGGATGTTAACCTCCGCTTCAAGTTATATAATGTTGGATATTTCCTTCTTGAGGTCAGGCAGGTTACAGTGTGGTGTGAGGTAAATGTGCATACCAGGCTGTTGTATAACCTGGTCAACGGAAGGCACACCTCCAGTTGAATGGCTGAAAACTATCGATATCATTCGAGATCAGGGGTGGGGGTCACGTCTTCGAAGTCTTTACCGTCAGAGGCTTTTCTTTCCAGCTGTCACAGTTTTCCTTGTAGCATTAGGTTGCTGTATGATCAAGACTGAGTGATGTATACGGGCACACTGTACAGTATATACCTCCTTTTGCTTCTTAAAGCTGCTCTAATCAGTATTTGTATCTAAATCGTGGGTCAAATTGCTATGTGTGTTAAATGCACTGCCTGCATTGTTTCTCATAAGATTTTGTGAGACTGTGGTGGGTGGACCTCAGACCCTCAAGGGGGGTTCTGGGTTAAAATGTTAATGCATCAATCTAATGCACTTGGAGGGTAAGATTATGAGGCTAGATCTATGAAGGAATTTGGGATCAAGTAAACAATTTAATCATAAACACATTGGTTGTATATGAATGGTGATGACATCGCAAAAAAGTCACCTACAAAGCATGGACCCGCAGAGGCAGGTGGACAGAATGGAGTAGAGAGTGAACGAATATGGCACCAGACCAGCTCCCACCCTGTTCACCAACTCTCCAGAGCCAGCCGCTCTCATTAAAATGCTCTTACACACATTTGTTAATGATATTAATATTCTATAATAATATAACATTATGAAAGTTCTGCATAACAAGTACTTTAATGGAAAGTAAATTTTTCTGATAATACTTTGTATGTGATTGTACTTTTACCTATAAGTAACATTCTAAAGTCAGGACTTTTTCTTGTAATTAAGTATTTTAGACCATGGTATTTCTACCTTTACCTAAGGTAATCAAATGCTTCTTCCACCACTGCTTTTGTGTGTGAAAAATGTTCAGTTTGTGATAAAACTGTGGCAGGCTGGCACAAATCAATAAATGTACAGGAAACAATGGGTGAAGAGACGTTTGTAATCCCTTTCATTGCTTTTAGTGCAACAGATCAAAATAACCAAATTATCATTTAGTAATTTAGACAAATTTTACTCTTTCTTGCTGTTGAAACTATTGTCATGGCTCTGTAAAAGTCTGTTACAGAAACAAGAATGCCAGGTTAATTTACACTGGGTATTTTGTTAGCTTTGAGGCTTGATTTTCAAGCTAAACTGTGTAACTTTTGCGAAAGCCACAAGTTCCTCCCCACTGCAATAAGACTTTCTAATAATAATTGACTCTTAATCAGCTGCTATAACATTATAATTTGACACAAAGTGACACTTACAGGATTATGGTAAATGCTAAAATGTAGCATAACAGTAGCACAAGTAGTGAGGAGTCATAAAGTCAGCTAAGTAATGTCAATTACACAGCCATTTTTATATAGCTAATGTTAGCTAATATTAGCCACCATAAGCTACTGGTCACACCAGACTAAGTGAAGCTGTAGCAGCTAATCCTCTGAGTGTATTGACCAGTAGTGTGTTTTCTTGCTAATGAATTCAACTTTTCATTTGTATACAAATGTTATTTCTTTTTCAACAGTTCACTGAACACTCACACACAAATTACTTGACTTAGTAGGTGTTGCATTAGTCAGAATTCAGCCTAATAAGCTCTTTGGAATGTTCTTAATCACTGCTACAGTCAAGACAAGACATGATTGTTACTACGGCAGTGTCAAAAGACTTTTTTAATCACATGCAGCTGATAAAAATTAATAATGAAAACGATTCTGAAAGAGTTTTCTTGTGGCACATGGACCGCAGAACCGGTAGGGCCAGTAGTGACGTAAATCAAACTTTTCCCATTCAAATGCTGGCGGCCTGGAGCTGCCCTTCTCCGCCACTTCATTAGCGTTACAGTTTTACTAAAAATTAAACGCCAAAAAAGAACAGATTTTTCACAGTGATGCTGTGGTGTCGAATATGAAATGCATTTGGCTTGAGAAATGCACACATAGGAAGGAAAGTCCTTAACACATTGGTAGGAAATTCCTGCCGTGTTTGGTTTGAATGGGCTGGAACAGGTTCAGAGTAAAAACCCTCCCAGAATGAAATATTTTCCTATCAGCGTCAACCTGTCTGGCACGTAAGCTCATTGTAGAGTTGCTCAGATTGTGATGTGGATCCTGTGAATTCTTGTTCTGGTTAATTTCTGTTCCAAAGGAGGAAGTGTTTGACCCTTCCTGATTTGACACATGAGTCAATGAGATGTCAGCTGGTTTCATTTCTAGATAAGTAGCCCTGATGTGTTTTACTATCAGTTCTGTTTAGTTTCTTTTGCTACATCCATCCTCAAACATCTTTTTCTACTTTCAACCCCCCAGGTGGCTACTACCTGACCAGCGCTTACGGAGCCATGGCCCTCATCAAGAACTTCCAGGAGGAGCAGGCGGCCCGGGTGCTGAGCTCCGAGGCCAGGAACACCCTGCACCAGTGGCACCGCCGGCGGACCACCCAGCGTTCAGTGCCGTCTGTGGACGACTTTCAGGTATCACGCCTGACCTGAACCCACCTTGAACGTCCAGGCAGTGAGTCTAAGTTGTACCAATTCCAATTAGCACCAAACTTCGGCGTTCAGCATTCGGAAAGGTGCATGAGCGGTGGTGTGTTTTGGCCCTTGTCAGTGAAAAGGAACACAGTTTCTACTAACATCACAGCATGTGGATCAGGATCTGGTTTCATGGTAGAAAGCTCCCTCTAGTGGAACATTTAACAACTGCACGTGGTTTCTTTCTATAGCTGCAACTGCATGTGTTTTTTTTTGCCTGCCTGCTTAACTCATCAGTAATGCTGTGTTCTGCATGTACTGCCAAATGTTAACACAGGACTTTCTTTGTTTCTCTCTGTAGAATTATCTCCGTGTAGCCCTGCAGGAATTGGACACGGGCTGCACGGCCAAAACCCTGGTCGTCCACCCTTACACAACCACAGAGGAGGTCTGCTCACTCTGCGCTTACAAGTTCAAGATCCCTGACCCTGAGAACTATGCACTGTTTCTGGTCACTGAGGACACCAGCCAGCAGCTCGCCCCGGACACACACCCTCAGCGAATCAAAGCTGAGCTCCACAGCCGGCCCCTTACACAGATCTTCCACTTTGTCTACAGGAAGGTGTCTAACCTGAACCTCTGTATCCCTGCCGTCATGCACAACGGAAACTGCCTTTAAGCTGAATAGCGGAGGAGGATGTAACATCTTGCCACACTTGATCCTAAACAATAGTTATGTTTTGTGCCATTCTTGTGGTGCTTGTAGATGTTTATTTTGTAGATAGATTTGAGGATGTCTGAATGGAAACAGAAACCAAGTTGTATATTGGCATATTGATGCAGATATGAAATGTCTTTGATCCAAAATGATGCCATGCAGATTAGAAGGTCATTTATTTTTATGAAGAAAAGGCAAAGAATGGTAAGCTTGTTGCTTGTTTGGTTCGAGTTATCAACAGTTCAAGCATTTAGGGTCCATTTGGTCCTGCTGAGCTGAACGGAGATTGTTGGATCGCGTATAGAGGCTGGTTTGCAGGATTTTTAGTATGTGAAGAGTTAAATGGAGGTGAGCGTTCTTCAGTTGGTCGTGTATAACATCCTCAAAGCAGAGGTCATACAGTTTAATATTGCATTATATGTAACTAACGTTTGCCTTAACTGCTGTTAGCCCAGGTGCCTTCAAAAGGAACTGAACATACTGTATGCTACTGAAAGCTTTCAGCCAGTGATTATACAACAAACTGACCCATGCTAAAACATTGATTTAATAAGTAAAATGAACTGTTGTAAAAGATATGATTGTTTTTTTATTGCTCTTATGTTTATTTTCTGCAGTTGCTGGTCAATTGTAGCGTGTATGTCTGTCTGTGTAGAAATATTTTTATATTCAATTTATGTCCTTTTTCATCAGGAAAGGAAAGATTTGTATTCTGATTTAATATTTCTGTACCGGACTCAATAGTGGACTTGGATTTATGCCAGTTATTTCTCAATTTAAGACAACACTGTTTCTACTGTTTGTTATGGAAAGCTCAAAGCTGACTGTGGAAATATATATAAAATCCAAACAAAGTTACTTGCTGACTCCAATGTATTTTTCAGGATTCTTCTTTTTCACATAATTTTGGAGAGGAAGTGTCAATTCTTGTGTGTGATATCAGATTTCTCTGTGGCACAATATTACCCTGACTGCGCTGGAACAAGGGAGGATTTTACTGTATTTATAAAATGTAATCCACATAGTCACATTTCAATCCACAAACTGTATATATATACAGTAGAAATTAAATTGATTTTAAATGACTGCAGAACCTACCACAGGAGCCTAAAGGTAAGGTTTTGTTGGTCTGATATATAAAGAGACAAGTGAGCTATCCCTGAGAGAGCCTCCTCTAAGAGTTACATTGACCCACCCATGCCTTTGATTGCAGCCATTTGAAACTGACCTATAGTCACATATTCACAATAAGGTTTTGTGTAGCTAATTCCAGCCAGATAAATAGGTTCCTGGAACTGATCATGATTTATTATTATGAAAACTAGCCTTCCTGTGGTAAGAAATAATACATTTTACAACACAATGGCTGATTATCCTCACCCTTCTAACTCACCCATGTCAAAACTCTCTAATGTCGAACCCCAACTGTCAGTTCACTGTTAATCCAGAGTCTTACTCTAACTTGAGTTCATTTAAAGATGTGTAACATTTAGGAGGATCTATGGTATAATAATGGAATATAATCAAAAAAATAATAGTTTCTCCTACATACTTCCAAGTTCCAATCTTCAACTTCACTAAACACTCCTACAGACTGGTCCTTTAAAGAGCTTTAGTTAAGATCCATACATATCGCTTGTTTACTGAATACATGAAGTTAGTGTATGTCGACCAAAATAAAGTTTAAAGAGGGAGACAAACAATGAGCCTAGGTACTAAGGTTTGAAACAGAGATCACTTGAGTAAAACAAAAGAGTCAAAACTAGAACAAAGAAGGATTGTGTGGTATCTTTCAGTCTTGTTCTGGTCAGTGAGTACTAAAGACAATGATGGTGGGGAGGGATCAAATAAAGGTCAGTAGGTAAAAGCACTACTACTACTACTACTACATGTACTATCTAACTGCAAAAAATACAGTAAATCATGTAGGTTAAAGTTATTAACCAATGAAGAAAACATGGAGAGTGTATGCTAGCAGAGAAAATGTACCCTGGGATTACGTTCTGTGAACATAACGCAGACAATAATATTTCATATGTCTATATATTTCATATGCTCTAATCATTTAAGACTTTTAAGGTTTCTGCTTAGTGAATTCACAGAATATGAGTTGTGCAGGGGCATTTCCAGACTTTTTTGACCGGGGTGACACAAGTGGGGCACTGACTTATCATGCAGTATGTGACTCAGTTCTTCCAGCATTCCCAAATATATTGCAACTCTTAGAATCTGTTTAGAAGTTCCCAGTATGCATGTTTTTTTGTGTTTTTTTTTTTTGTACTAAGAAGCTTTCATTGAATTAGCATAAAGTGGACATGTCTACAGAGGGGAAACTTAGGCCAATACAACCCATTTTCATTCAGATATCTTTAGGTCAGAGGTTAAGGGATCACTTTGAAAATGGGCATGCCAGTTTTTCCATTGCCAAAATTTAGCTTAGCTTTTTTAGTTTCAAATGATACCAGTATTTTTGTTTGCTTTAAAAGGAAGCTCGCTACAGCCTCTGAAAGACAATGTGTAGTCCCCCCTGTGGAAACACCCTGGAGTTGTGAGTGTAGAGGAAACTAAATACACAGAATGTAAAGATAGCTTAAAGAAAAACTGCTCCCGGCAATACATCTGCTATTGAAGATCAGGAAGGACAGTGAAGCCCAGATGATATTCCCCGAGATCTATCATGACCAGGTTCAAAACAAAACGGATTCAACACGACTGATCCATTGACAGTATGTAGGCTATAGGTTTGCCAAAGAAACAGAACTAGTGGATGTTCTGCTGAACATGCAACAGATGTAAAGCTAACCTTCAAATGAATAAATGGGCACCAACTCTGCTGGTATTCCTTTTATATGCATTAGATGATATAATCACACACTGTGGAAACATTCAGAAAACCTATGATGTGAATTACACTGTTTGGTTCATATTATAGGCTTTATTATAGCCTGATAACTTTGGTTAAGACAGCAGCTACTGTTGTGAGTTTGATGATTAAGTAATATTGTGTGTGTCATGTATGATGGTTACACTATATTTTAGTGTGGATAAATAATTTAGCCTATATTTTGTTCTTTAAACGATGTCCCCCTAACATTCGGCCCCGGTGTTGTGTGGAAGTCTGTTCCCCCGTCAAGAGGTGCTTCTCTCCATAGACATATACATAGACATATATACATAGACATATATACATAGACATATATACATAGACGCCGCATTGACTGCTGCCGCCCACTAGAGCGGC